CACTTTTTTATTTTTTCAAGCCAAGAGAACCTCTCGGGAACTGTGCCTGTCTTAGGTTGGGGTNGTAAGAGATAAGGCAGGAATCCATTAAGTCAAGTCCAAAGGGGGTTTTCTGCCACTTGTTTTCTTCTCTTTTCTAAGTCGTCTTGTATTTGTTTGATATGGTCTCAAACTATCCTGGATTTTTTTGGCATAGAAGCAGCATCTTTCCTGTAGGGCTAAACAACCACCTCCTTGTTCAGCAGTTAGTAAATCGAGACCCCTTCTGTTTTGTAAGACTACTTCTGCCAGGGAATCTAATTGGTCTTGGAGGTCCTGTATAGTTTGGGAAAGGGCTTGTACATCTGAAATCAGCTGGGTAGACAATTTTGTATATTGAAATAGAGAATGGGTGAGACTGGAAGTTCCAGTAGCAACTGCTGCAGAAATTCCCAAACCAGCAAGTAAAGGAATAAGCTGTACAGCCCTTTTAGATCTTCCAGCTATATGCTCAAAAGTAGGGACAGGGACGGGCTTGCTCCCAGATATAATATCTACATCAGGCAGAAGGAAAGCCAAAATACATAACCCTGTCCAGTTAGTGGGTAATTGGGTATAAGCCTTATTTCTACTGCAGACAAAAAACGAATTGTTATGGGAACACAAGGAAGTAGAAATGTTGATAAACAACTGACAATTTGCAAATGTAGCAAACCCAACGTCGACCTCAAAACTACTATTAACTGAAGGGGAAATGAAACTAGTAGCATTATAAAACTGTAAAGGTTGTACCTGCAAAGGGAAAGTTAATGAACACTGATAACCATCAGAATAACTAAAAGACAAAGCAAGAAAAGCAACAGGGACAGGCTGTCCTACTATGAGACAGAGCCAACAATTTTGAACAAGATCAGGATTGGTGGTATTAAGCAACTTATGAGTTGCATAAAGAAAGTTGGAGGTCTGAGGATCAAGTTCTAAATCACCCCTGTTCTTGGGCAGGGCCATGGGGTGATAGGTAAATTGAGGAAACAAAATGTCATGCATTTCTTGAATTTTTGTTTCCACTTTTAGAATTCTAGTTTGGTCTTGAGGGCCTCCTCCATCAGATATGTGAATGGGGGGAGTGGTGGACCAACAAACAGGTTAACCTACTGAACCTGTACAAGGACCTTAGGTGTACTTATTTTAGGTGAGCCCAACAGCAGAAGGAGGACCTGCAAGATCCCCTCCAAAAGTCCCCACATAATTTTTAATCAGGGTGGCTGTGAAGTATGTTTGTTTTCCAGAAGTGCACAATTGGTATGAAGAATAACAAGGGCTATGCATAGATTCAGCAAACGTGCTGCAAGGACAATGGCTTAAGGCTCCCACCACTGCTGGCTATGAACTTAGGTTTTTCAACACAACTATAAGTGGGAGATGATGAGGACAAATAAGCTGACTGGGTGTCACAATCTACAACAGATATATATGATGT